AACCCAACGTCATATCTGTGTGACACATTATTTAACATGCATCAGTCTATCTATTATATTTATGTGTACATCAATAAAAATATATATCGTATATTTTATAATTACTATACACGATAATATACTACCAAAAACAATAAAGCACCTCAGTCTGTAATCACATGCCGGTAGCGAAAGTAACTGCTAATATTCGATTCAAGTTTTGCAGAATGTGTTCCCTTTTCAGACGATGTGGTGTACATGAACGGAGAGAACAATTGTCAAGAATACGTATTGACGGAGGAAGGTTTAATCTGGCGCGGCACTCACAATCGTTTGCGACCCACCATTTGGAGATACGCGCAATTCGAACGGGACATCCTGGACTGCGCCCTGCACCTAATAAACCACGTTGGCAAAGTCTGCGTTTCCGACAGGAACGATCCGGTTATCATAACGCGCTGTCTGCTCGCCGCGGTAAGCCATTTAGAGGAAAAAAATTTTCCTAGTAAAACTTCGAGTAAAATTAAACTCTATTTTGAAAGAAATGATATTTAAAGTACTTTTATTTCTAGTACAAGCGAAGTTTTGGAATTTTTGGATTGATAAATGGGATTGTTTTTCTAGGTGAATTCTTCCAACGACAACGGGGTAATGCTGGAAAATTGGTCTGACGACTACGCGGACGGAACACCACCTACGAGGTGGATAGGCTCACAACAAATACTCCAGCAATATTACAAGACAAAGAAACCGGTCAAGTACGGGCAATGCTGGGTTTTCGCCGGCGTGCTGGCGACGATTTGTCGTACGTTGGGTATACCATGTTCAGTGGTGACCAATTATTCGAGCGCACACGATACTCAGAACAGCCTGACCGTGGACTACTTCGTGAATGAGGAAGGCAAGATCATGGAGGAGCTCAGCGATTCCGTATGGTAATTTCAACGCGGATAACATTTAGCTTTTCCTTGCAAGTCACGATTAAATATAACAAAAATAAAAAATAATAGAAGTGTGAAATGCACACAAAGTGATTAATATCTTATTGTTCGGAATAATCAGCGATACTTTTTCGATTAAATTGGTGATTCTTGATGAAAATTAGGAAATATTAAATGGCAGTAGATAATAGAATAATCGATTTTCGTCGTGGCAGGAATTTCCACGTTTGGAATGAAGTGTGGATGAAGCGATTGGATCTATCGCGGGATTCTTCGGGATGGCAGGTCATCGATGCGACTCCTCAGGAACTGAGCGAGGGCGCGTATCGTTGCGGACCGGCATCGGTGGCCGCCATAAAGAAAGGGGAAGTCCTGCGTCCCTACGACAATGCGTTCGTCTTCGCCGAGGTAAACGCCGATAAAGTCTACTGGCGTTACAACGGACCGACGCAGCCGTTAAAGTTAATTTGCAAGGATATGTACGGGTAAGTATATGACGAATTATATTTGTATTGTAGCGGTTATTAAGATTGATTGCAATGACGATGATGACGCAGCATTGGTCAGTTGATAAGCACAAAAGCGGTTGGCAGATGGGCAAGAGAAGACATCACGCACACTTACAAGTATTCAGAGAGTGAGTGAGATTTCATAAAAAATATTACTCAAGGTGTTGTTTGCAGATCGTTTAGATAAAATAAGATTGTTTCAATTATTTCTTTATCATTCGGTTAATTATTTCTTTATCAAAGGTTTTGAAAAATTACAATTGTAATCAGATTTATTAGCTCAATTATTCAAAGATTTTAATGAAAGAATAATTGAACAAATCCTGAATAATTGGGAATTTTGTTATGATTGTAATTTTTTAAAATCAGTAATATTTGCATCAACATTGTCCGTAAAATAAGGATCATAATGTTATTTTATCGATTACTACTTTATCTGAATTCTTAGCGTTGCGCGGGTTACTGTCCTGGTTCAGAATATTTAATTTTGAAATATTATATCAGTTAATGTAATCTCTGATCAGTTATTAACGTCATTTATAAGAGTAATAATTATTATTTTTAATGTTAATAGAATCCGATGAAGAGATCGGAAGAGCACA